GTAAGTAACATTTTTCTGTTGTGAATTTCCGGATTATACTTATTCTCAAAACTAAATAGCTAATTATACACTTACTAATCTTATATAATATTTTAAAGTTTTTCTAAACCCAAGTTATGAGAGGATGTCATGTGTCATCTATTATTTTGACATTTGCCTTTTTGATTTATTTATTAAAAAAAAATAAGTGTCTTTTAATAGCCAATTAATTCCCGCAAGTTACAATTTTTTTTTTTGATAACTACAAAAAATTATCATTCTAAATTAAATGTATTATTGTAAACTTTTAACGGTTTAAAAAAATAGATATTTTATTTATTAAATCCAACAGTGTACTATACAAAAAATATTAAAAATGTAGAAAAGTAACTACGGTTTAAAACAAAAAGTCACAAAGAGTTTTGATAAAAAGAATCGTAAAATAAAAAAAAAATGGTGTCAAAAAATTAATCAGTGATGGAACTGTCGCTCATCCCCTAATGCAATTAAAACGATTTGTGTTGGATAAGTAGTGCTTCTAACCAAAACTTTCGAAAGAAAACATTAGTTAGATAAAGTAGCGCTCCTAATCAAGACTTTTGAAAGAAAACCTAACTCCACCATATATGGTGAATCCATAAAAACATAATAATTTACTAATAACTCGATTTGAAAGATAAAAATCATAGTAAAACGATAAAAAGAGTGAGACAAAAATACAATCAAACATCAACTATTATCTTCTTATAAATTAAGGTTCTAACGAAGCAAARCACAAAGATGTGTTCCAATATCTCTATTGAGATGGTGCAGATGTCTCGATACAAGCAAAACATATTACAATTTATCTGATCAATAGATTTTTTACAACCGTATTTGTTGTAAGAAAAAAACGACCAATAATTTTTTTAGGAAACCGTAGTGAATATTGATAAAGACATAAAATTTGCGGATTTGTGCAAAAAAAGATATATTCCATATGTATACGCTCAAATTTTTATTAATGAACAGTATTTCTTTTCACATATAACGTTGTATATATCCAACAATTTGCTAAAATTACTTAGTCTTTAAGCTAGATAATTATTTACTATAACGCCAATTTTGTATAATATTAAATATACAAATAATCAATAAGCTATAAATTACTACATATTTATAATAATTTTTAAATCCACGCAACACGTGGACAGTCTCTAGTTAGCTAATATTGTTGTATCTAATTATATTTCTGACTATACATCTACGTTATAGCTAACTCTACACTTATATAGTTGATTATATTTACATATAGTTTATCCAAATTTCAAAAATAGTTAGCTAAACATTCATGTATTGATTATATATTCATGTAATTAGCTATGTTTTTAACTACATATCCACATTATAGCTAACTATACACTAATAGTTGATATATTTACATGTAGTTACTCATATTTCTATTAAAAATGCATGTACACATAAATATCTCTTTATATATCCAG